CGAGGTTTGTTTTGTGTTGCCTGTCTCGTAACATCATCAATGACAATGAGAAAGATAAGAAGAGACAGGAGGGAGCCTTTCCATACTCCGGAAACGGTGAAAAAAGGCTCCGATCTCTTTCTGTTGTGTATCACCGAGCATTTAAATCTGTTATCGGATAATACAAATAAAAATGTATTTTATATAATCTAAATTTAAAAAAACTATACTGACTAAATCTAGTAAACTTAATGTAGCTCACTTAATATTTGTTTTGAGGTCATTGTTTGCATTTTAAAACTTCACCCAAATTTGACAATCAAATAAATTTAAATTAAGTTGCAAATTGAATTTAAAATTATTTTTGTAATTATAATACTGATAATATTCAGTACTAATATGTAAATTATCTACTAAATTGAAATAACCAACTGTTCAGGTACTGGTAAAGTAAAGTTAAAGAATTTCTAGTGCATTTCAATTTCAATAATTTCAAGACTGATAAATAAATGGTTAGAGGACGAAACTTATACTCATCAATTGCAAATATGGTTTAACCTTTCATATCTAAAAATATTAATTGATTATAATTATTTATTTGCTTCTATATATTTTAATACATAAAATTAATTAATTAATCATAATCGCATTTATCACACGAAAGTAGGATAGTGCAGTGATAAAAAACTTTTAATAATATAGTATTGTATATAATATTGTATATAATGTATAAAATAAAACCATGATAAACAGTACTAGTTTATATTGTGATATGACTTATATACAGGAGCCAATATTAGATTGGGTCTCACACTTCAATTTAGTTATTTTCAATAATGGATCTTTAGTTAAATAATAAGGCACACATAAAATTGTTTAAGTGGAATTGAAATAATTTCGGATGCCCACAATGAGTACGCTAATATCATGTTAGAGAACAGCAAGATAAGATAAGCCTACTCATACATCATACACTTCTAGGTTTAATTAATAAAAAATTTATTTGTACATTAATTTTATGCCCTCAGCACAATATACATATTACATGTAATTCCTACGGATAGTAGCAACTTCTCACAAAAAAAATTATATAGTTCTATGAAAATATATAATACTTAACTCTATTCTATAGATATATAAGACATTTAAAATATATAAATATTTTTTAAATAATAATAATAATATAATAATAATAAAGTAATGTAGTAATAATAATATAATAATATAATTTCTTTTAGATTGTTTGAAACATTCTTAACATCATTTATTTTATTAAATTAATTAAGTCATTATATTGAACGCGTACAACTTGCTCTATCAAATGAAATTCATTTTAATTAGGAAATATCAATTTTAACTTTATTTTCGCACGAAGTCAATGCTAAACTTAGCACAAAAGTATATATAAAGCTCAAATAAAAAACTAAGGTCAAAGCACCAGCTAAAACCACCAAAAATAATAACGGAATAATAATTTATAAAAAAAAACATTTCGTAGGAAACAACGTATATATGTTTCCAATATTAAAATATCTAAGTATGGATAAATTCTTATCACATTTTTCATATCTCCAATAAACTTGACACTTTTTTTTGCATATCCAATAAAAAAGTATTATTTGTATGTAAAAGTATAGCAAAATGAGGCTATATATAATGATGGAACCCTAATTTATAAACTAATGCAAAATAGGTAAGTAACAAGTGAAGGATGGATTTGGTTTTGGTAAAGCTTTAATATCTTTGCATTAATGTATTAAGAATTTATTACCAAAGATTATTTTTATAATATACATATATCAGTTTAAATAATAGCAATTAAATAAATAAAAAATAAAATAAATTGTTGGATAAAATGTTTCATAAAATAACAATACAAAATGAAAAGGTTTCCATTTTTGGCATCAAACATTGGCTCTAGAACTCACATTGAACCTATATTGATCTCGAGACAATGATAAAAACAACACAAATTTAAACGAAAAAAAAAAAATAAAAAAAAAATGTCACCGAACTAATCAAGAATTAATATATTTTACATCATTTCTAATGTCTTCGTCACTTTGTTACAAACATCTTGATAAATTTAAAATACCTTTCATATACTTAGTGTATACCGAAAACTTTTCAATTTAAATATTTAATTGGACAGTTGTACTGCTTTATCTTCCATGGAAAAATAGACGAAACGAGGAAATTAAAGTTTTTTTTTGATATTTACCGAATAAGTTGATATATATTATCGATTAGATATTTAAATTATTAAATAGAAAAAAAATTATAAAACATAATTTTCTCAAACGCTAACAATCATTATTAAAAAAAAAAAAGGATATTATTACGTATTTAACATCATCATCAGCGTTACAGCTCGGAGTGAGCTATAGCTGCATCAACCAGTTTCCTTCATTCTCCTTTGTTTAAGACCTATAATTTTGGACACACATTTTTCTGATGTTGTCGATCACGTTATCGAGCCATCTAATACATGATTTACCTCTGATGCGGTCGTTGTATGGCGTGAAATGGAGTATTCGCTTTTGTGGTCCATCTTCCGACATTCTCATGACGTATTTAACATATTTTTATTAATTTCTATTTTTGAACTTTAAGTATGGGGTTTTTCAAAAGAAAGTGTTTAATTCGCAAGTTTATATAATTAAGTTGTTTTTTATTAATTTAATTAATAAACTAATATAAAATAAGCAAACTTGTTTTTTTTTTATATACCGAAAATTAGATTTGGTTATGTGTGGTATAATAAGTATTTAGAAAACACAGTTTTACAAAATAGTTTCAGATAATATATTTCAGATATATAAATCATAAAATTTACAATAATAATAATATCCTAAGACATTACAAAATGTAAATAGCCGTCCAATGTCACTGGAGACAATTTCAAACTCTTATAATTTCCAAACTGGTAGCGATAGCTGATATTAAAATTTATAAAATTGTTGTTTATTATTCATTTTTCAAAATAATATCAGCAACTTTTCTTTGTGAATGGATAAATATTCCGGAATTTCACATTCGTAAGGCATACGAATGAATCTACTTTATCAATCTACTTAGAACAGTAATTCATGCTATAGGCGGTCATATGGAATTGATTTTAAAAATGTGGTTATTTTTAATTATTACATTGTATTGAATATTAATTGTTAATAGTCATGCCAATTAAATGGATTATTAACGATTTTCAATATATAATTAAATTGAATATTAAAATCTGGGTACATCTTTAAGTAAAAAAAAGAGCATATAATTAAATACAAAATATATAAAAAAAAATATAAAATATATAAAAATATAACGAGTACTTACATTTACCAATGTTTACAAATATGTTTTGTTTACATTTTGACAACCAAATAGCTTGAAATTTGTTCCATTTTTTATTTCGTTTCACTTGCATATGCAGCATTACCATATCTAAAAACCTAAATGACGAATAAATTGGGTTAAATTCGGTCATTTAAAGACCATAAAGCAAATAAATTATAATTTATCCCTTAATGATAATTTATCTCCCGTCTGTCAATGCTATTAGACGTATTTTGGTTATCAGAAATAAAATTACAAGCATCTAAATTTCTTTTTGATTATGTCATAAAAGAAAACTGAATTAGTTGTGCCGTAAGCAGTCAACTGATTTGTTTTACTTTAAGTTTAATACTAAAATTATCATAAAGTTTTGACATAGTAAATAATTTTCTGTGATGTTTTATGACAGAAAGTAATTACTCATTTATAACTGCATAAATGAATTTATAATGAAAGAATAAATTAGATTTTTATGCAACAGTTAGAACATTCATAAATTTAATAATACATCATACAAAAAAATTCAATATATAATTAAATATATTGAAACGTTTGTATTAATATTTCTTTGTTTACATTTTATATAAAAAACATATGAGACATATTTTAAATTGTGTTAATTTCCATTGTGAGAAATTTATTTTTAAGTGTTGCATTCTACGTTTTTCGCTTTAAATGAACTGATTTATTGATAATGAACTCATTCGTATGAAAGATTTTTGTATAGTTAATCTTCCTCATAGCTAATAATTATTATTGTGAAATGTTGCACAAAATTCAAGTCATTTTAAAAAATGAAGTGTTCGAAAAAAATACTTTCATAAAGAAATTTGATATAATTGATATAATTAAAAATAATAGTAATAATATTTTTTACTAACATCATCAAAATCATTACTACAATCATCATGCTATTTTTTGTTTTCATATTACACAAAATTCTACAAATGATTGTCATATTACCGCTGTACCGAAGGCTAAAGTTCCTTGCAAATTTTTGAAGATACCAATATATATATTATTCAAAAACTATATATGTAATATAAAAATAAAAATATTTAATTTTAATTTAAAATATTTTGTTAACTTAAACCTATTAGTATAATATATTACATTAACATTACTGGTTACAATAAAAGTCATCACACTTCGGTGTTCCGGACGATCCTTCGAAAATAATTATCCGGATTACGAAAACATATTGTGTTAAAATTTAGTCTTAATAATTGCACAATAATATCATAGAATTAAAATTTGATTTTTTTTATACAAATTAATTTTAAAGTAATTTTATTTTATTTTTCCATTTTATAAAATTAATTAGTAAAAATTATAAAAATTGCTTTGCAATTCATGACTTAAATTTTGAATTGTTACAATTCACTACTATTCGAAAACCTCTTTATTGAAAACAATAGTTTATGTTAAGAAAAGAGTTTCTTTCGTCATAACTGACGTTAAAAACCAATTTAATATATTATTTAATAAATTTTTTTTATATGTGAAATATACTTCCAAAGAGATACATTATTAAGATATTATTAGTAAAATTTTTAAAAATGTATTAAAAATTTTTGTATAAATGGATATATATTAAAATTTATAAATTTAATTCAAATTACAAATTTACTATTTATAAATAGTGATATATTAAAGAAAAAGACAAAAAGTTTGTATTAATATGTACTGAAATTATAAGCCATTAGAAAATGGCAGGTTGACTAAGTTCCTTCAACTAACTATCGAAAATGCGATCAAGTTGTACAATTCCATGATTGGTTTGTAAATAATCCTAAATCATTTTAAATATTAAACACAGCTCGTCTTTCAATGTATTTTGACATAGCCTCAGTTAAGTTTCTTGGAAAAACATGCTTATAATGTAACGGAGCGCAAATTTCAAAGCATTTCATTTGTTCAGTCTAAGTAGAGTGAATGCAAAATGTCGGACGAAATGTACCGCAGTACAACATTGGGCACATCATTACAAGAAACTTTAAATGAACAAATTCAGGTGAGCAGAACCATCTCGTTTTACTTACATATCTAAATAATATTTATTTAAACAGTCTGGAAAAATAACTCCGGCACTAGCAGAAAAGGCGTTGAAGGAATTCGATAAAAGCATGAAGCTTATAATTAGTCAATATCCAAAAACGGATTGTAACTTCAAAGCAGCGAAAATCCTATACTACAAACTGTGTGGTGATGTTTGGACTTTCATACTGAAAGATGTCGAGTTCCGCGATGGTACCGATGTTTATAAAGTTGATAAATTAAAACTTATCGCGTACCCAAATAAAAGCAGCAAATCTAATAAAACTGGCGCTGTTGGTGAAGCCGGCAAATAAATTCACATTTAGAACTAATAATAAGAAAAATTTTTGTAACAATTTATTAAAATAAAAACACACATGGTTCGTTAACTATAACGATTATTATTATATGTATTATTTAAAAAATTTAAAGAAGTTAGACTTAATACAATGCAAAAAGGAAGCTTTAAGTTTTATTGACATCAAAATAAGTCAAATTGTGTCCTTATATATGTAGACAATATACTATAGAATGTAGTAATAGCTTATTAGACACCAGATATAAAAATTACAAATTCATGTTTTTAATTAAATCATATTATTAAAAATATATTATTGGGCTTGTTTTCATATTAAAGGCGTTGGGTATGTTTAATGAACCGATTTTTTTCACTTCAAATTACATACCACTCACAATGAACTTTCGATATATTTTATTTTTCCATTAGTTGTTTTTATAGCATAGAAGGCAACATGTCTTACCAACTCTATCGTAGCACCACTTTAGGATGCATATTACAGGAAACTTTGGATGAGCAGTTAAATGTAAGCAAAATAAATATTTTATCATGGTAAGATAAATAATGGAATTAACTTTTCAGTCTGGGAAAATTCGAGCGCCATTAGCGTTAAAAGTAATGGATCAATTCGATAAAAGCATGAGCAAGGTGCTTAACGAACGTATTAAAGCAAAATGTACATTCAAGGCAGGAAAACTTGATACATATCGTTTCTGCGATAATGTTTGGTCACTGTTTCTGAAAGATGTCGAAATTCGCGACCGTGAAAATTCTATCAAAGTGGATAATGTAAAAATAATTGCGTGTGAAGCGAAACGCCGCAAATTATGTGAATGGGATGGTGAAATTCATTGAGATGGCGCGTCTTTTTATTAACAATACTTGGATCAACAAAAGCTGTATTTTGTTTTATAAATGCAAATTGTATTATTATATTATCTAGAATAATGTGCTATTATATTATTCATCTATAACAATATGTTATTTATATTATTTATAATAATTGAATCAATAAAAGGTGCTTTGTATTATAAATACACCACTATCTGCATATTGTAGAAATTAAAAATATGACAAATTAGTATAATATATATTATTATTGTGCAATATCAATGTTTGATTATATTAATATATATTGATTTGTTACATTAAATGTACATACATATGTGAACATAAGCATATCTAAAATTGTTTATAAAGGATAAATAATATATACAAATATCGAAGTTTACGTCGCATTCAACTTTATATATCAATTAATAAATTGTGTTTCATATTTTTGAATAGTACAACATGCATTTAAGAATTTAATTGTATAAATATAACAAATTATAATTGTTTTAAATCTGCATATTTACATTAAATCCATATTAGACCAGTTATGTTAGACCAATTTTTAAATTTTACATACAACTCAGTACTAAAACGCAGCTAACTTCATTAATGTTTTTGACATTTCATGTATTGTTTTTACTCTACTTCAGTTCGAGAAAAGTGATTGCACAAGTAAAAGTAAATTGCTAGCAAATTTAAATATCTATATTCTTGTAACTTAACAAATTAAATTTCAAAATGTCGTACCAACTTTACCGTAATACTACCTTAGGGAATACATTACAAGAAACATTGGATGAGCTAATTCAGGTAAGCAAAGAAGATTTAAAATTTTAATGATACAATAACAAGGGTTTTTTTATATAGTACGGACAAATAACGCCAAACTTGGCTTTCAAAGTACTCTTGCAATTTGATAAGAGCATTAATACTGCTTTAAATCAGCGTGTCAAAGCAAGAGTTACCTTCAAGGCAAACAAACTTAATACGTATCGTTTTTGTGATAACGTTTGGACGCTTATGCTAAGCGACGTCGAGTTTCGTGAAGTTCATGAATTTGCAAAAGTTGACAAAGTGAAAATTGTTGCTTGCGATGGCAAAAGTGGTGAATTCAATGGATAGATTAATAAAAGCATTCCAATACAGTTTTTTTATGGGATTTCTTCCTTATGGAAGAGTGGTTTTTAAGCTATTAGTAGTTATAATGTTTGTCTCGTAATAAATTCATTAATTTTGTAAAACTGATTCATTGACTAAATAAAATAGTATTTTAAAAATCAATAAAGAGATTATTTTAATAGTAATGGGTTTGCATAAAGTAAATAATTTTGTAAGTGGTGTTTTTTTCATTAAATAAAAATTCCAGAGTATGGTTTTGGAAAAGTAAACAATCTTGTTTTCATATGTTGACAATTCGTCAAATTCATCAAACACCTTTTGCTGACATTTGTTTTTCAAATATATATCAATGAAACACAGCTCAGTTGTTGCTTTCAGAAATGTTGATATAAAAATATTTACATGAACATTTTCCAATTTTAATTAATTATATATATTATTATATAAAAAGTAAAAGTTTGATAATTGAATTTTATTTAAAATATGCGAAGCATATATTTGACCACCTAAGATTGACAATATTAAAATATTATTTACGCCACAAAGTAAATAAGGTATTTATGCCCTACTTCTAACAATCTATATATTTTTTCATAAAGTATTAAATTTGATTTGAAATGTATTATGTATAATACAGTATTTTATTATATATATTAATAATGTTTTAAAAGTTAGAGTTAACAATATTATTACAATCAACTAAATCAATATACAGGAGTTAGAAATTAGAAATAAAATTCATGTAAAAATGAGCTGAGAACATGTGATGTCATGAGTTATTTAATTGGATAATTATGTTATAGCTGTAAACAATTGAAAATAAAATTTAACTTTCACTACACACAGGAGGGGCAAATAAATGTCAATAAATTATAGCACAATAATATAGTAATCAATAAAATATATTCATATTAATATGCTATTATATTTAAATAACATAATATTATAATGCCAATATGAATAGATTGCTGCACTCGAAATTGGTTTAGCCAGCAATTTTAAATATAACAATAGGGGTATTCAGGCATAGTTGATTAAAAAACTTCATATAAAAAAAATTAACATTTTGATGTTAATCAGTTGCTTGAACGACCCAAAATGCGTAATCTGATTAGTTTGTTGTGTGAAAATACCTTGGCAGCACTCGGATCAACAGCAAAAGCGAAACATACTTGTTTAACACTATTAAGAACTAACACTATTATTACTTACCATAAAATTGTCCATTTCAATTACAAAAAATATTTTTTTATTCCTAAAGGCATCGACAAACAAATTTTGAAATTTGCTATCATATTATTAACAATTCTAAAGTAATTATACCACCTTCATTAAAACTGGGATGTCTGCTTAATTTATTAACTTAACTACATTGGACTTATTTAGTTGCAAATTGAACGCTGCAGAATTATTTTCTCCAATGGTGCAGTAATACCGTATAAAAGCAAACATATTTTGTTCTGTCAGTTGGTTAAATAGGTTCGTTAAATATTTTTTTGCGTGTAGTATTAAAAATTTATTTTTACGAAACATTTTGTTTAATAAGAATCATTCATTCACTTGTATCATTTTCTTTTAATAGTTGTTTTACATATAAATTATATAAATGTGTTAAGAAATTTTTTTTTTTCCAAATTTTTTCTCATTTCTTGTTCAAAATTAATAGTTAAATAAACCATAAACACATTTTCTGCAATAAAATTAGTATAAATTTATAAACATTTCTGTTTTCAAATGTTGGCAACCTTACATCCCTATTATTTGATATGAATGTCAAATAAAAGAAAATGCCAAACTGTTTGGAAATTATTTAAAATTAATTATTTATTTAAATATAATATAATTTCAAAAATAATATAAATAATATGAAATTTTAAGCTATTTTCCATTTTATTATATCCTTATTTGTATTTTTGAAAATACTTTTGTTTGCATTGTCTAGAAATTTTTATTGTTATTTTCTTTATGTACCATTCGTATTTTTTCTATGTTCGCTGCGTTATTTTTATTCAGTGTTTAAATTTCAATGCGAGTGGATGTGCAGTTGTAGTTTTGCATGCGAGAAGAAGCGTTTAGTTGAATTGAAAATAAATTCAATTATTAAATTAATGATTTCGTGCAATATAATTAATAAGATTTTTATTTGTAAAATGCTAAAACCATTGGAAGTAATATTCTAATGCGCTTTAATTAATCAAGCACTTCATTGCCAACAAGAGTTTGAAGTTACAAAGAATAAAATAGACAACAAAAGTAAAATTCAAAAAGTGCATTAAATTAATTTATTTTTTTTTTGTGTTTTAATAAAGTGTAAGTGCCGATTAAAGATATATATATTTGTTTTTAAATATAATAAAAGCATACAGCATTTTTCAAAATAAATTTAAAGCACGAAATTAATCAATAGAAAAAGTGCATAAAAGCCGTAAAACTTCGCTGCGGAGGTGGAGAAGTGTTAATTTATATACAACAAAAACCCCAACAAAAACAAAATGAAAGCAATAAATACTTGAGCGCCCAACAATTCAAATAATCAATGTGGATAATACATATATTTGTTTACATTTTGATAAAAAGATACACATTATTTGCTTTGTTATAATTTCTTTTTATTATATATATATTTTTTTGTTTTGCTAAATAAATTAATTGCGTGTTCTTAACAAAAGATTTTCTACGCATTTTTATTTTGCCAAGTAAAGCAGCAAGCTAAGCAATATGCTGCGGCGGCGTATTTCTTGGTGGTCTCCCACAGTGCTTCCTCTTGTGCTGTAAGAATTGTCAATGACATTTGGGTGCAGTTGGCTCTAAAATTACATGATGTACTTCTTTTCTACATATGAAGAAAAACAAGTGGGGGCATTATTAAGAAGCACAAGTAAATCCAAATGTATTTTGGATTTAATTTTCAACCTCACATATCAGAAAAATAGTTTTCATCATTGTTAAGACTTTGGATTAACAATGATGGCTGAATATACTATTTGGTTTAAAATTGCATGAGTAATCAATAAAAAAAGAATTAGCTTAATTAACATTTCTGTTTAATAATGAGTAATTTAATTACATTTGCATAGAATGTATTAATAAAATTGATACAGGGGTTCTGTTCATAAAATATTCATATTTATATGCATTGTAACATATATATAATAATTATTATATATAAATTACCAAATTATTTTAAAACATTCTTTGTTATTATAACAGATATAAATCTTCCAGTGAAAGAGAATAACTAATAATAAAATAAATAATATTTGAAATATTTATCTTAAGTATATAAAATATTAGTTTTATATAAAACTATATAAAAAAATATAAAAGCATATCAAAAAAATATAAATCATTTAAATTATTTTAATAATATATATATATAAACATAAAATTTCGAAAAAAATCGTTACAATAAATATAAAAAATTACATATTCAGATTAAATGCTAATTAATTAAAAAAAAAATAATAAGAAAAACAATAAAAGATTGTCAATTGAAAAAGTGTGGTATATTTAAAAATATTCGAAATATAAATATATATTAAAATATGTAGAAACATTATATAAAGAAACAAATATGAAATTAATAAAAAAAATATATAATTTATATAAATTTTTTATAAAGAATTTTTAATTAAATACAAAAAAAAATTATAAATAAAAATAAAATGAAAAAATTTATATTAAAAGCAAATATAAAAGTTTTTAGCAGTATCTAATTACATAAATATAAAAAAATATATAATATATAAAAAAAATCTTTGTAAATAAAATTAAATAAACTTGTATTTTGTACAAAACTAAAAGTAAATTATAATAAAAATATGTTGAAGAATTATATATAAATATAAAAGTAATATGTAATTTTAAAAAATTAATAATTTATTGAAAATCTTATTAATTAATTTTAAATATTTTCCGAAAAATAAAGGAGTTCTCCAAATTGTTTTTTTTATATAAAATTATTTAAATTTCTTATAATTATTGCAGAATTTAAATAATATATTCAAATATTTATTAAATTTGATATATATTTATACAATATATATATTTTATGAACATTTTAAATAAAACAAAAAAATATATAAGAGAAATAAATTTATAAAAAATAAAAAAGTTAAATAAAAATAGTTCAAAATTAATTTCCGTCGCATTAAAATCTTTTCAAAACTGGATTATAGTAAATCCGACGATATTGGATCTCTACAGGAAAACAATTCCGGAGTGACCAACAAAATGGTTAAACGGTAATTTATACATTAATTTATTTTTTTATACATTATTATATTGATTATATTATATATTTAATTTATTTAAAAATCTATAAAATATATATTAGTATGTGAGTTCCATGTTTCTTTTACAGTAATAATACAATTATCATACTTAATAATTATAATTATTAAGTATGTCAGTTCCATCTTTCTTAGTAATAATATTAATTATAATAATTATCAGTAATTGTCTATTTAGAGTACAGAGTATTATTTTAAAATAAATTTGCTATTCCTTTCTTACATTCTTTTAAACTATCTGGTATAACGAACTTTCAACAATATTAGGATGTTATTACGGAATACAATATATATCCTACAAATTAGAAATAGTAAAAGATTTATTTCTTGTTTATTTCGGAACTATCAGAATCATACACAGTCTTTGGCAAAATTTATTTTTTAAAACTCTGTAGAAGGTTAATAAGCTGAGTTGTGTCAAATCTTTTAGAATCAAGCATTCACTTATTCAAAATTTATTCGTATAATAAATAACTGTTTGTGCGTGCTATATTAGCTAGACAAATAAAATAGAAGAGTGTAATATTTCGTTACCAAATTTATTCGCAATCTAAATTGGATTTATATTTTCGAAAGTTTGCTTTAATTATTTATTGTGATTTTAATTCTCGTCTTCGGTTTACATATATAAACATGGGTTAATCTATGTGCTAGAAAATTAATCTATATTAATTAGAACAGTTAAACTAACGAATTTTTGATTCGAATCAGCTCTTTGGTTTCCCTTACCCATTTAATTGCCAAATACTCATGACTTCGTTAATAAATTATATTCGCTGCTTCAAAATAATAATACATACTGGTAAATGCATAGCTTTTAAAAAGATGTAGGTTCTAAGGAGGAAATATTGACATTATT